TCAATGTTACCATACTCCCGACTCGCGGGTTTCGACAAATAAGTCTGCCGACACTTTCAGCTGCTGCATCTTCAGACTAAACCCACTGCACCGGGCGGGCGCGAACACTGAACCCTCGATCGGGCAATGTAGCGCAGAGCGAACTCGCTTCTTTGCTGAGAAACGTGCTTCCTAACGTCCCCCAGTACAAGAGAAGGATCCATTGAAAAGCCAAGGAAAGCTTCTTCACATCGTGGCGAAGTTTGAGTCCATCGGAGCTTGTGCCGTTGTCGTTCTTGGCGTTTTGCGCAGACAATCTATCACCCAGGACACACCTACGGATAGATACAACGACCTTCTTCAAGGATCATCTTGGATCGATGCAGATGCCCCTTCCGGCGATTGCGATTGAACCAAAAGTCTGTAAAATGAGATTGGTAAGCTTGTTCCTCCAAAGCACCAAAGTCATGGACACCACCAAGACTGCCCCCGCCATCAACCCTGGTTCCCCGACTTACACGGGAGCGAGCAGCCAATCAGAAGCGCCACTTCACCCACGGGGTCGGACCCAACGGCCACGGCCAACTCTCGTCTCGTCCCGGGAACACAACCACACGGCTTCGTACGGGGTGCCGACTACAACAAATCAAAGCCGACGAATCACGACGAGGCTCTCAATCAGGTTCAGAAGCTCAGAAGCTTAGGAAGCTCTTGATCCCTTCTCGACCTGCAGCGCCAAGCCAACGCCACACCACGCCACGCACTTCGCAGGCTTCATCCCCAATCCGCAGACCGAACACACCCAGCTTCGCTCTTCGGAGCTTCTTCCTGCTTGACCTAGCCATCATCTCCGCTTCGCCCGTCAAATAACAAGCGTCTTGGCGTTGGGAAGCCCGAGATGGCCCCCGACTCCTCCTTCATAGTTCGCGCAGACCACGTGCCTCTGTCGCTCACAACGAGCCGTGAAGTTACATTCAGCTTTTTCCCATCCGTCCCAGCACGCCGTCATGATGTCGGTCTAGCCGTTCTTTCTGCCCCTGCACCGAGCCAATCGTACATCAACAATGATGCTCTCGGTGCTCGGTGCAGACGGAATCCTACCCATTACATTGGACTAACGTTCTGCGCAAGCTGGGATGATGCGCCGCGCAATCTGCAGCTCACTCACTCACAACCCCCCCCCCCCCGGAGCTGTCTACGATGTCTGTACCCGCGAATGCGAGGATCCGCGAACCGACAGAATGTTTTTGTCATGCATTGGACAGGGAACTTTTGGCGGGGGAATCACGCCCTCTCTCGACTCTTGAAAGACATGGGATGACTTTTCGTCCCCTTGTGCTGAACTTATTGGTATATAAGCTCCCGAGCTGTAGGAAAGCTTCCACTCCAGCGTCCCGGTCAAGCTTGTTGCGCCCTTGTTCTTTCCGTCCCACGCTTCATTGTGTCTTTTTTGGCTTCCCTCCGCAGCCAATTCACTTTGAGGAAATCCAAAGATGGTCAAGCTCAACCCCCTCGCCGCCGCCGCCGTCCTGGCCGCGGCCTCGCTGTCGTCCCTCGCCTCGGCGCAGACCTACCAGCGCCTCGGGACATGCCCGGACCTCGGCTGCGTCCTCCCGCCCGACCAGTCCGACTTCCTCCCCGGCCAGACCTTTGACCTCCGCGTCGAGGTTCACGCGCCCGTCAACGGCTCCGAGGCGTTCAACAACGGCGTCCCCGATGAGGCGTTCACGGCGACCATTGCCAAGGAGGGCGGTGCCTCCAAGAGCTTGACCGAGTTCTTTGGTCTCGAGGAGCCCAAGCTGGAAAAGTGGTCGTTTGGGTGGTACGAGGACCTCTTTGCCGAGGACGCGAAGCAGAAGAGCGTCGTCAACGTGGCTTCCAAGATTTGGCGCCGCCTCGCGCTGTACGAGCCCGGCAACTACGTCGTCACCCTCACGTACTACGACGGCAAGAAGACCACCGCCAACTGGGTCGTGCGACCTCTGGCGACGGAGAAGAAGGCCAAGAATGTCATCTTCTTTATTGGTATGTTCTGTGCTGGTTGTGTTTGTGTGTGTTCATGCTGACTCTGGACTCAGGCGACGGAATGACCACCAACATGGTATTTACGCAAACTCACATCTTTTGAAACCGCGCTGACGTTCACAGGTCACTGCTGCCCGTCTTCTCGGCCACAAGAGCATCAATGGAAAGTACCAGACCAGCCTGGCTCTCGACAAGTTCCCCGTCATTGGTCACCAGATGACCCATTCCATTGACAGCTACATCACCGACTCTGCCAACTCTGCATCTGCGCTGTACTCTGGTCACAAGAGCACCGTGAACGCCATGGGGTAAGTGGAAATGAGGAACTGCCAAACTGCTCGCTAAACCTATACCAGTGTCTACGTCGACTCTTCCCCCGACGCCTTTGATGACCCCAAGGTCGAGACCATTGTCGAGCTGATCCACCGCATCTGGGCATGTCAGATCTCTCTGCCCCCTCAGACATCGCACTAACAAACAAACGCAGGGCTCCGCCTGGGGCGCCGTCTCCACGGCCTTCATCGCCGACGCCACCCCCATCGCCCTGACGGCGCACACCCGCGCCCGCTCCCTGTACGGGCCCCTGATCGACCAGGCCCTCAACGGCATCACAAACTACACCTGGACAAAGATGACCGGCCCGGACGTCTACCTCGGCGGCGGCGCCGAGCAGTTCTACCCGGGCAAGGGCTCCTACCAGGGCAAAGACTACTACGCCGCGTTCGCCGACAAGGGCTACAGCGTCGCCCTCAACAAGACGTCGCTCGAGGCCGCCGACCCCAACGAGCGGATCCTCGGCATCTTTACGCAGGGCAACCTCCCCGTCTGGCTCGACCGTAATGTTCTTACCGAGAACCTGGCCAAGCTGAGCAACGACCCCACGGGAAACAAGAGCGCCGCCGCCGACGTGCCGGGGCTCAAGGAGATGACGCTCAAGGCCGTCGAGACGCTGCACAACCGCGGCGGCGAGAGGGGCTTCTTCTTGATGTCCGAGGCCGCGTCCATCGATAAGCAGATGCACGCGCTCGACTACGACCGCGCGCTGGGCGATTTGCTCGAGCTCGACGATACCGTCAAGGCTACGCTCGAGAAGCTCGAGGAGCTCGGCATCCTCGACGAGACCCTCGTCGTCGTGTCGTCCGACCACGGCCACGGCTTTGAGTGAGTAACTCCGTGACAACATCAACCTCCCACTCTCGATTACTAACACGAGCAGCGTCTTTGGCAACGCCGACACAAAGTACCTAGCCGAGCAAAAAGACGACCGCACAAAGCGCAAGGCCGTCGGCGTCTACGTAAACTCGGGCCTGTCGCAGTACACCGTCGAGCAGCCCGGCGTCTCCTACAACACGGGGCCCAACTTCCCGCTCAACTGGAGTCCCCGCTACGCCATCGCCGCCGGCTTCGGCGCCAACCCGGACCGCCGCGAGGACTACAAGCTCCACGCCGACGGCGCGCGCACGCCCGCCGTGGCGGCGACCAACACGACGGAGTACTACGCCAATCCCAAGGACGCCGTCGACGGGTTCGTCGTCAACGGCACGCTGCCTACCAACGAGGCGCAGGGCGTGCACTCGTTGACGGACGTTGCTGTGTGGGCGAGGGGACCCTGTCAGGAGACGTTTGGCGGGACGTATAGCAATATCGATGTGTTTTACAAGATGGCGAATTGTCTTGGTCTCGCGCAGCCTAGGAATGCTACGGCGCCAGGGGCTGGGTGTGCCCGGAAGGCTAGGGCTCTTCATGCTTGAGGAGGGTGGTCGAAAAGGGGGGTTTGAGAGTTTTGTATGGCATGGCGAACGGGTGTTGGGGCAGTTGAATGTTTGAGTGTTGGGTGACATGTTTGGAGAGGTTGGACAGACCTCTCGACGTAATGAACTCTGTGATGAAGTATAGAATTAATACCATGTTGGTTAAGAACACACTCTATGTCTATCACCAGTCCGAAGAGTCAATCTGCTCTGGTGTTTTTAGACATGAGCAGCTGGATGGACGGATGTGAAACTCCCCTTCTTCGCAACGACCGGCACCGCGTAGGTCTCCCACAATCTCATTTCAAGATCCGCTTCAAGGCCTTTCTATAGAAAAAGTGACAGATCGTTCTCTTCCATCGCAAGCACCACGATGGAGGGCTCGTGCTGCGTCGGAATTCCATTCAAGTGAGGTGGTTTATGCATCTTTGTCCAACAGCACCAACTCGACGAGATTATGCATGATGCCTCCCGAGAAGCAGAACCAACATAAATGTAATGGTTCTGGATCAATGGACTTGTACAAAAACGACTTCCTCTTTTCCAAGTCAATGTTGCGAGTCTGGACTACACGGCCAGCTTGCAACGAGGGTGACCGGGCCCCGTTCGCTCGGGCCCCCTCCACGGCCGATGGCCCATCATCGGCCGATGAACTGACGATGATCCACTTTCCGTGGTCCGTTTATTCCCCGTCCGTCCGTCAGCCCACGATGGGCCGGGATACCTTTACCCTTTTTTGGCGTATTGTCCACGGGCAGAGAATCTGTTCGCTTTTCCTCAGATGGTAGATGGGCCAGGACGAGGGTACCGGGGAAAATCAATGGATAGGTGGCCTCTGCTACCAGCAGTGTTACATCCCGGGAGGCAGGCAGGCAAGGCAGGCAAGGCAGAAAGATCAGACGCGCAGGTGTCAACTGATGTAGGTATGTCGTGCATTGTTCGTTTCTTGTTTAGATTACGAGCCCCGTTTGGATCTCTTGCGAGGGGGGTACGAAGTATGGTTCGTGTGGTAAGTAGGGTCGATCTCCCGCGCGGTCCGACTCTGCGGGGGTGATTCGCAATCAAGTGGATGCGGTGCACATCGCGACTCAATACAACATGCATGGCAACCAAAACCCGTGATAACTTCACTGGCCCGATTCGATGATCGCAACATGATATCAAATAACCATCCGCGCCCTCTACACTAATGCCCATGAGAATCTACCCAGAATTCAGAAGAACTAAGAAATAAATAAATAAAAATCACCTCTCAGCAAGCCTCTCCATAATCCCCATCGCCTCCTCATCATCAACCTCCCCCTCCTCACACTTGCCCGTAAAACAGCTCGAATGCGCCCAAACACCACCCCCCTCAAACCCATCAACCAAGCTCGCAACATTTTCCTTCCTCACCCCGCCACCGATGATAACCTCCAGTCCCTTCCCTTGACCCCCCTTGATCGTCTTCGACGCCTCCCGAACAACAACCTCAAGCGGGCCCCGATTCTCCGCCGCGTTCCCCGGCCCGCCAGACGTCAACACCCCCTCAAACCCGCAGCCCACCAAACCCCTCACCCCCCTCTCAATCGTCTCAACCTCCCCATCGCGAATAACCTCGTCAAAAGCCCGGTGAAAAGAACACGCCAACCCGTCCGCGGCTTCAACGAGCCTCCGATTCCTCTCAATATCAACCACAACCACAACCACAACCCCACCATCACCATCACCACCACCAGTCTTCCTCCTCTCCAAAACCCCAAACACAAAACCATCCCCCCTCTCCCTCCTCAACACGCCCCGAAACCTCTCCACATCCCTCACCATCCCCTCAAACTCGTCTTGGCTGTACACAAAATCCACCTCATCGTCCAGACGCTTCCCCCGCGGCCGGATCATGATCCGCACAGGCACCATGAGCCAGCTATTCACGCCCTCGAGGTCCGCGAGCGCAGGCGTCGTGCCGCCGACGGGGTAGCTCCCGCGCGCGTTGAGCTCGATGCGCTGCGCGCCGATGGCTTGGGCGTGCAGCGCGGCGGAGGGGGAGAAGACTGGTATCTCGAGGTGGATTGGCATTGTGGGTGGCGGTGGTTGCTTTGTGACTGTCATTTGGTTGCTTGGTGGGGGTGTTGTAGCTGATAAGTGCTTGGGGTTGAGGTTAAGGTAAACTGAAAGTCGATTGGATAATCCGTTGATGTGATAGGTTCAATCGAATTAAGGTAGCGGGAAAAGGTAACGACAACCCTGCAAGTTTGGCTCAACGTTGGTTTTGACTCTTGAAAATGATGGTTAAAAGACCAGAGGAATGAAGTGCAACACGAAACCAAAAGTCAATTGCAAGACGCCCGCGCTTTAAAAGACTTCCGAGTCCCTACGATGATTCTTGTTTATTCGCCTCTTGTCGCCCATCTACGTCCTTGTCCGCCTTGCTTTGCCCCCTTCGCTCGGACGGCACTTTTAATATCAGATCATGCCACCCTTCCTTGCTTGCTGTTCGTGTCAGTTACCCCACCGGTGAACATGGAATCTTGGAGACCTGGACTCAGAAAAGTCGTTCGAGTTTCCCCCCGTCGGCTGGCTTAGTCATCATGCATATCTTATTAAACCTGAGACGTGGACAAAGGGGCACAATCGAAGGACGGGCAGGCTATGAATGATTGACGCTCAATTCCTATGATGGGCTATGGGGAACTATCTCGTGGGGGTCCTGGACGACTAGGGTCTATCCGTCTCCCACTGTCTGCACTCGTGAAAGCCATGATGGGTATCTCTCCGGCTACTGTGCCATTAACCTCATCTAAACGCCTAAACTAACGCCCGAATCCAGCCAGAATACCCGATACCAATGTGGAAGCTCGATAGCTTCTCTCCGAATGCTGCCAGAATGCTCAATGCTGATGTGAAAGCTCGATAACTCTCTCCCGAGTCCGAATAGAGTGGTGATGGCCTTCGTAATCGCGTCTGTGCTCTCAGCAAAGATTGCTAGTCGATGGCGGATCTAGCAAGCTGAATGCCAGTGTCGCCATGATGAAAGTAATGTCCTGATGCCTGCAGAGCAAGATATGTACAATGTCATGGCAGCGAGCAGTACCCTCAGGCCTCACTCCTTGCGTCGAGCGGACTCGGCCTCAAAGGCCTGGAACATCTCTGGCTCGTACTCGGGCACAAAGCGATCCTTCGGGACGCCGCCCTGGCCGTTGTTGTGCTCAGCAGGATGCTGGCGAGGAGGGTAGGGAGAGACGTAGCGACCAGAGGTGCGCTCGCCCTCACGCTGTTCGCGCTGGTTCATGTAGCCGCTCTGATGATGGGCGTACTCGATAGGTTCCTGACGGACAAGGACAGAGGGAGAAAGGGGACGCTGGATCTGCTCGTTCTCAGGCTCCTCGCGACGATCCATGTAGGCGGCCTGGCGGTGGTAGTCCTCGTTGGCATGCTGACGAGGGGCGGAAGTGGAGGGCTGCTGGAACTGCTCCATCTCAGGCTCGAAGGCTTCCTGGTGGCGATGATCCTCATTGGAATGCTGACGAAGAGGACCAGAGGTGGAAGACGGATGCTGCAACTGCTCATTCTTAGGCTCCTCACGGTTGTTGATGTGAGCTCCCTGGGGGTGATGCTCCTCATTAGCCTGCTGACGAACGGAAGGACGGCGAGAAGGCTGCTGGTGACCAGAGCTAGCTGTCGAGGGGCGCTGGATGTAGTCCGGAATGGTCGAATGATGACCAACGTCGCCGGGAGACGGCGCGACACTATACTGCGCGGAGCTGTCGTAGTTGGGCGACATCGGGACTTGACGATCCGAGTAGCGAGGCATCGCATGCTGGGGATCAAGGCGCGCTGAGGTGCTCGGTCGGTTTCCGACAGGGTACTCAGAGTAGCCCATGGCCGACTGCTGCGACTGGGGAGGGGACTGGCACTGAGGATCCTGGCGGTACTGATGAGATCCCATGGCAGGCTGTTGACCGTTGTAGCCCACGGAGGGAGCACGGAGGTGCTGGTTAGTATTGTACGCTGCGTTCGCGTGGTATCCCTGGTTACCGAGGCCATGCTGGTTGAAGCTCTGATTGTGGTAGCTCGGGTTGGCGTGATTCTGATCGTAGCCACGGTTCTCGTGATTCTGGAAGGGGCCCTGGACGCTGCGGTTCTGGTCGTGACCACGGCTGCTAGAGCTCTGACCGTGGTAGTCCTGGTTGTCGTCACTTGGACCGTGGCACTGGTCGATGTACTGCTGGCGCTGGCGGACGTGCCCCCGTTCGTAGTAGCTACGGTCCTTGGCGCTCTGATCCCAGAAGTATACGGAGTCGGGGTCATCTTCGAAGCCCTGGGGGTTGGTGATCTGGCCGTAGTCGCCGTGCGTCTGGTTGTACTGGCCCTGACTGCCAGAGTTCTGATCGTAGTAGCCGTGGCTGCCGGAGCCCTGTCCATACTGGCTCTGCATTCTGGGACCTTGATTGTAGAAGGCCTGACGGCTAGACTGCTGTCCGTAATAAGCCTGAGTTCTGGGGCCCTGGTCATAGTAGCCATTGGTCTCGAAAGGGTTCGCCAATCGAGCGCGTTTCTGAGGCGGCTCTCGACCATGCTGAGCGGGTCTGGGGCTTTCGTACGGGAAAGCATGGTAGTCGCGGACCCGCGTGGCAGCTCTAGGGGGCGAGGGGGCAGCGTCGAGCGCTCCTGCGAGATGGTGTGCTGGGGCGCCAAGCCGGGGACGTAGTTGCCACGAGGGCTCATGTCAGCCACAGGGGCCGGGAGAGTAGACGATTGACCCGCAGCACGCTTGACAGGGCGAGCGGCAGTTTGATTTCGCTGAGATTCCCGGGCCATGTCCCGAATGAAGGTGAGAACTTCGTCGTCGGGATCAACATGGTCGTCTTCACCCTCGGCGTCTTCATCGCCATCATCGATGTAATCTGCATCGCCGTCGTTGGTTTCATCAGAGAAGATGGTTCCGTTCTCCTCGTCAGTGGTCTCGCCGGTGTGCTTGTCGAAGCTGTCCTGAAGCTGGGCATCCTGGGAAGGAACAGAGGCGTCACCCTGCGACTGGCTCTCTCCGTTCAGGATACTGGCCATGATTCTCTTTGCCTCGCGTACGTACGGAGCCGCGTGGGGTGAGAAACGCTCCTTGTCGAAGTTCTGGAAGTAGTGCTCCACTGTCTGATCGTTAGCATGGCAATTATATCGACGGAACGTGCTGGACGTACGGAGACTGAGGTGAGTGTATTCCCGCTTGGCGTTGGCGCCCATTTTCTTCTGCATGTACACGGCCAACTGGTCCCAAGGCACCGCCGGGCCACCGTCAACACGCTTCGCCGATTGGGGAATGACGAAGCGCCAGTAGACGCGCTCTTCCTCTTTGGACCACGCTTTGCCGGGCATTTTGGCGTGGTGACTTTGGTAAGTATGTAGGCAGGATTGTCGCGGTAGGCGGGTGCTCTGGTTCGGAAAGCTCCTGGGGCAATTCTTTGCAAGATTGAATCCTTCGTCTGGTGTATGAGAGAAGTTGTTTCTCCCGGAAGGAACGACTGCTAAATCACAGATGTTGGCGGTCTGTCGAGGGGAAGCGTGATGCTGTAGGTGTAAAAATTCGGAGACCTTTTCGGAAAGATTCTGTGCGGCCAGAAGTAAGAGCGAAGGTGTAAATGCGCTCGCGTCGAATGTAGGAAGGAATTAATTAAGCCTTGACGAAGTAGGAGTGACTGGACTCCTGTACTGTAGTGGGTGGAAGGTTGCTATTTATATTGTGGGGGGTTGAGGCGGCCGTGATGGGCGAGGTGACCCCAAGGGCGGCAATGCGGTGAATAGGAGATGCGACTGAATCATAATGCGGTCGAAGGGGTATGCGGTGAATAGGATATATGACTAAAGAGTGATGTGGTGAATAGGTTATGCGACGAAAGGGTGATGCGATTGAAGAGTGATGCGACGGAAGAGTGATGTGACTGAAAGGTGATGCGGTCGAAAGGCTATGCGGTGAATAGGTGATGCGACGGAATGGTGATGTGGTGAAAGATCGTGATGCGACGAAAAGCGGATGTGATGAAAGATTGGACGAGTGAATGACCTGCCAGGAAGGAGCAACGGACTCGAGGGCAGGTACCATGGTTGTATTCGAGCGAGGTGAGGTCGGTGAGACGAAAGCAAGCAATCTTATGGTCTCTAGTCCACACCAACATACATGTGGCTATTCAGCATCGAGGCCTTGGGCGTGGATGGATGTAGGATTGATGTGGCCAGAAGGTGGCTGTGATCTTGGAGCAGCTTGGATCGGGAAAAGGGTCTGCAACTCGATCGACATCTTCTAGAAATGTGCAGTTGGAATGATCAGGGGTGACCCTGAGCAAGGCGAAGATGCTTCATAGTCTTGGGGGCTCCCATCCAGTCCTCAATGATACCAAAGACAACCCAGCAGACGGCCAGGCCTTGGTTGATCGAAACTCCATCTGCTGAACCATCTGCTGGATCGCCTTCGGCATGTCGCAATTCGAGCGGGTGCTTACCCTCAGCAGATCGTAACAACAAGGCTACTCCACTGCCTACAGTACCACTTTCGCACACCAAAGTCGTCTGCAAAGGGCTTGTGGAGAGTTGGAGCTTGACTCTCTTTGAACTTGGAGAACAACTTCGACTGAGACGAGCAGCACAACGCTGCACCCAGCCCTTTGAATCCAAGTCGAAGACCGGCTGCAAGAGAAATACATCGTGCACACCTATTCGAAAGGACTCTGAGGGTCTGCTGGCTTGTACCCCCTCGCAGTCAACGCTGCTGCCAAGCGCCATTCAAGTCTCGAGAGCTATCACCAAGTTAGAAACTGCTGCCAGACTCAATGGGGGACAATTACAAACAATGCTCTTCTTCTCAGGGGCAACGACACCCTCCCTAATCCAGAACCCCCAGCCACCCATCATGTTGGCCAGCATCATGTCGGTGGTCAAGCGATCGCCGACGACTGCAATCTGGGACGGATGGGAGACGCCCGTTTCGGGGTGCTGCTGGAAGTACTCCATAATCTCGGAGCCACAGCCGGGCTTCTTCGTCTTGTGAGGCAGTACGGTGATGCCGGTGGCCTCTTCCAGCTCCTTGGCCAGCTTGAGGGAGCTGTCGTAAGACGTCGCCCCCGCCGTGTTGGAGACGATGACCAGTCGTCTGCCGGGATAGGCGGCCTTGAGCTGCTCGAAGCGCTCCTTGATGATGATGATTCAGCGTCTGCATTCTAAGAGAAAACTTGCATTGGCATACCTTGTAAGGTTTGTGGACCTCATTCGTGTGGGGAACCGCGAAGCAGTCGTCCTTGTCGAGCACCACGGCCCTGATGTCGCATTTCCGATTCTGGCCCTCAAAGGCTTTTTCAAATGGGATCGGCAGGTCGTTGAACGTCGCGACCGTATGCTGCGGCAGACACAGCGTGGGCTTGAAGAGAAGTTTGAACACGTTGACCGTGCCAGAGAGGTTGAGATTCATTTTGGTGATTGGGCCCTTGAAGTGTGGATGGGGTTCGGGGGAAGGAAGTGAATGAGGTTCTGTGTGGTTGGACGAACGAAGGACCCGGTGAGATTTGGGCATGCGGGGAGCTTGGGCCACCTGTAGAATGCGCAACAGCTACCCCTGTTATCACGATAAGATAAGCGCGAACCCCCGGGCCCCACGTCAGTGACACCGGGGGCGGCGCAACTCAATTAGACACGGAGAGGGACCCACTTGGCAGCCTCCCTGTCCGACTGCACATTTTCGCGTCCCCAGCGCGTCGTCTCCGGTTGCCGTGCCGTCGAAAGCCGCAAAATATTGACCACCAACGCCCCATTGAACAACCAACGCCCCGCGAGAATTGAGACAGACCACAGAAGCAACACAAACAATGGCCAGGAAAAGACCGCAAGAACCAGATGTGGGCGATTCTCCGAGCAGCAGACTGAGCCAGAAACGCTCCCGCCAGCAGCTGCATGATGGAGCCGACGACGAGCCCATCAACGGGACCCCCTCGAAGCGGAGGCGCCAGGCAGCGGACCCTTATCAAGTGCCCTCTGACAGCGATGTCGCCGATGATGACAACGACGATGAGGAGTCAGCAGAAGCAGCAGCAGGAGACCCCGATTCCGAACCCGAAGAACACACCCCGAGAAAGAAAAGAGGTCGCCCGCCAAAACCAGCAACCTCACAAGCCAACGGCGCCGTCACGCCCTCGAAGCTGCGCCAGGTGAACACGCTGGTGACGCCCGTCAAGGCCGCCATCACTCCGCGAAGGCGCCAGGCCGCGGACCGTTCCGCGCGGAGGAAGAGCGCCAGGGCTCTGATCCAGAGCATCGTCGCAGACGAGGACAGCGACGAGGAGGAGGCCGATGGTCTTGCGCGCGAAATTTACGAGTCGAGCGAGGAGGAGGACGATGAGGAGGAGGCCGAGGAGCAGAGGACACCGCGGGCGAGGGCGGCGACGGCGACAGCAACCACAAACCCATCCACAGCATCAGCATCACAACCCCCCGACCCAGAAACACCAACAGCAACAACCCCCCGCCGCCGCGGCCGCCCACGCAAACTCCCGCCCCCCAAATCCCCGACCCCGCCCCGCGACCTGCCCCCCCACGAAATCTACTTTGAGCACAACAAGCCCGGCCGCGCAAAGACGTCCCACAACACCCTCGCCTCCCTCGACCTCCTCACGCACGAGGAATACTTTGACCTCCTCCGCGACCGCAAAGAAATCGAAAAAGACCCCCACGAAGACGACCTCGCCTACCTCGAATCCCTCCACGAATCCTCCTTTGAGCAGTGGCGCTTCGAGCTCGCCCAGGGGTTCAGCCTCTGCCTCTACGGCCAGGGCTCCAAACGCAACCTCCTCTCCAAAGTCGCACAACACCTCTACGCCGCGGATCCCGATGCGCCCATCGTCGTGGTAAATGGCCACGTCCGCTCCCTCACAGCCCGCGAAGTCTACTCCACCGTCGCCGCGGCCCTCGACCCGTCCCTCAAACTGCCCGCCCAGACAACGGCCATGGTCCAGTCCCTCTCCTCCGCTCTCACCTCATCACCACCACCACATTCCCACCGCAAACCGATAACAATCCTCCTCCACTCCATCGACGCCACCCCCCTCCGAAAACAAACAACCCAACAACTCCTCTCCCGCCTCGCCTCCCTACCCTCAATCCGCCTCGTCGCAACAGCAGACACGCCCTCCTTCCCCCTCCTCTGGGACGCCGCCCAGCGCACATCCTTCAACTTCATCTTCCACGACGCAACCACCCTCCAACCCCTGCAGGACGTCGAACTCGACCACGTAGACGAGGTCCACGAGCTCCTCGGCCGCAAAGCCCGCCGCGTCAACGGGAGGGAAGGCGTCGTTTTTGTGCTGCGCTCGTTGCCGGAGAACGCCAAGAAGTTGTTCGAGTTGCTTGTTATCGAGGTGTTGGCTGCCATGGACGATGATGGTAGTGGTGGTGGTGGTGGAGGACAGTATGGGGCAAGTGCGGAGAATCCGGGCGTCGAGTATCGGATGGTGTACAACAAGGCCGTGGAGGATTTCATTTGCAGTTCCGAGATGGCGTTCCGGACGCTGCTGAAGGAGTACGTTTTCTCCCCTTGCTTTGGCGCACATGTGAAGCAGAAAAACTGACGAGAAGAACAGGTTCCACGACCATCAAATCATTGAGAGCAGGAAAGACGCACTCGGCACGGAGCTCTTGAGTATTCCGTTCAGGCGGGAGGAGCTCGAGGCCATCCTCGAAGACTTGATGTCATGAGTTTACGGCCTATGAATCACTGTACATATAAAGCATTCAGAAAATGGGAAAAGCATACTAGCGTTCCACATTCGCACCGATCGATTCAGTCACATAGACAAAAGCATGAGAACCAAGGCATTACATTCATAATCATGATCTCCCATGTTCTAGGAGTATTTTGTAAAAAGAAACCAAACCCATCTCGTGAAACCCTACCCCCTTGTAAAACGCCAGCCCATGACAACCCCCCTACACCCCAATACTTTTAACACACGTCCAGAGGACCACCGGCACAATAACATTATCGTTTCCGCCGGTCAAGACTGCCTCCGTCAAGCTCGCCATACTAGCACAAAACCCGGCGTTCCGCGCCGACGTGGGCCACGCCACGTGCTGCTCCGCCGCGACGGGCCAGCCCCCGACCCGAAGCCAGGTCGTTGCCGCCATGAGACCGAGGAACACGGCCACGGCGAAGGCGACGCTGCCCTCGAGACTCTTGCCGCCGCCCCAGACCCATTTCCTGTGCCCGTACCGCCGTCCGATGAGGGACGCCGCCGCGTCGCCGAGGCCGACACAGATGACGCCCGCGACCATGCTGGCTTCGCGCGTCGGCACCTCCCATCCGGTCAAGTAGCCGCTGCCGGAGCGCGGAAGGGTGGCGAGGGTCAGCCAGAGAGGGATGGCGCACCCGATGAGCAGAAACAGGTGGGAAATGACGACGGGCCCCTTGTGGTCTCTGCCGTCCACGTACGGCGTGAGAAACGAGGCGATGGGCCGGGACAGGGGCGGGAGTTGACTTGCCCGCAAGAGGTCGAGAATGAGAAAGATGGCGAGGACGAGCGACAGTGCCAACGCCGCGAAGACGGGGTCGACAAAGGTCGCAGGGAGGAACATGCCGACCATCATGAAGTGGAACACCTTTCGTCTCGTGTCCACTTCGTACTTGGGATCCAGGCGGATAACCACGGTCAAGCCGACAATGACAATGGCAAGCCAGTACGCTGTCATCAAGAGCCGCGTGTTGGCTTCGCCAAAGTCGGAGAGCCGAATGTGCTGCACCCAGCCCTGGTGGCACGACGCCTTTACATCCTCGCTCAGGCGTGCAGTTAAGCAGATCCATCTCTCGAGGTTCGCTTCGACGACTTTGAACCTGAACCACGGCAGCTCGCCAAAGAGATACCCCAATGCCCAGCCGACGGGCTCGTTACCCAGCAGAGCATGGCGGCCGATGTACTCTCGCACAGGCACCAAGATGATGAGCACAATGCAAGTGTAGACGTATGTCGCGTATGACCACTTCCTCAAGGTGGCTTGCGCCTCTGTCAGCTTGAAGAATGAGCGAACGGTAGTCGAAGCGGTGCGCTTCCTTCGGCCTGCTGATGTGTGTGTCAGGGACCGCCTCGGCCGCTGTAAAGCATACGGAAACGTGTTGCGTCGTCCCGTGGCGAAACCGTCGGGTGACCCTGGGGCTTTGCCATCTGGAGAGGCGCCCATCTTGCGCTCTCCTCGGGAGGGCATATCGGCCATGCCAAACGTCCTGACTCTCATTGGCTTCGCAAAGGGTCCGTTGATGATCTCCTCCTCGGAATCGCCCAATTCGGATGCCGACTCCTCCAGTGATGATCCCAACAGCTCGTGCTTGAAACGCCGGATGGAGAGTCCTTCGGAGAGGAACCCAAAGACGGATGACTTTTTCGATGGGGTCACAACACGCCTGAAGCGCAGCCTTGGAACCCTAGCCAAGGCGATCCCCCATCGAATCACCGGTCCGCAAATGACGAGGACGCCCACGCCGCCTCCCCAGAGCAGCGCTTGGAGAATGGTGGCCTGCGGTGAGTGGGCAAGAAGCAGAACATTGATCAAGGCAATTGAGAGCAGCTGCAGCTCAGCCGTGAGCAAGCTTGTCGTAGTAAGATAGTGCAGCACCTCGAGCAGCGTCTGGTGCAGCGGGTAGAGGAGAACAGCCGTCTCTAGGCTGATACTCGGTCTAGATAGTGTCGCTTCGGGTTGCTGCTGCGAAAGCCACAGTGGAATGCAAGATAGGACCCATTGCAAGGGGTTGATGGCTTCGTGAGCGCGAGCCGTTGGGATTAAGTATTTGGGTATCGAAGAAATGCTGAGAATGATGTTTGTCAGGATCACCGCCTGGTTGTCGGGGGATATTAATAGTGACACGAGGAGCGTCACAGACGGCGGATATAGAATGGGCGCGGGGTCAAAGACGGTGGGCACGGCAATGGCTGGCTTCTTTGACGAGGCCCTGTGGCGGATTGACCATGCGATGAGTCGGATCGGGTAGAGGATCATGAGAGAGGTGATGAGCGTGGCAGGGAAGCGCAGTTCTGTAGATTGTGAGCTTGCGTTCAGGGTCTGGCTAGACATGACTCACCTCTGCTCCACGCGGTGAAGAGTGGCTTCACCAACGGATTTGAGCGGACCACTGCGAAAAGCGAACCAACAATGATGAACTCTGACACGCGCCGGATGAGCTCTTTTGTGCGGCGGTAGTTGCGCTCGTTGAGGAACCTGCGGGCCTCTTTCCGGTCCTCCTTTTCTTTCTGCTTCCGCAGAGCATCTTCTTCCTGGTCTGGAGAGAAGAGAGGCGTCGACGAGCCCGAGAGGACCTCGTTTCGGCCCCTCAGTCCCTTGTGTAAGCGGACCTTGGGCGCCGGCAGCCCTTTTAAGAAGTGCTCATCGTCGGCTTCGGTACCGCTGTCGCTACCCTGCGAGGAGTCCTTGGCGAATGATGGAAAGGGAGACGGGGTTCGGCTCGAGTCTGTTGATGAGGTCCTCGGCGGTGTCGGTGCCGAATTGGGCGGTTTGTAGACTAGACGGTGGGCGGGATAAGGGAGCTCGGTATTGAGGTGGTGGTAGGGATGGGGAGAACGACTGAGAGTTTGGATTTCATCGTTTGCTTCTGTATCGTGGCCGAAGAGAGCGTTCGATTCGAGATGCGCGGGCATGGCGGAGCTATCGCATTGGGGACGACTGCCGCGCCAGCATTCATCTACTGGGGGTCGAGAATCACTTGGATGGTGGTGGTGTTGGTGGTGGTGCTGGGTGACATGGAATTGGGTGAGACGGGTGCCGGAGGGCTGTCGCAGTATGGATTGAGGGTATCGCTACGATGATGGTGTTTCTTTTTCACGTCAGGCCACGAGTGACAGTGATTGGGGAAGAAGTTGACGGCGAGGCGGCGGTTGTGGGGAGCTCCATCACATGAAAGATGCGAATTGGCAGCTGTATTGTCATTTGGGAGACTGGGCTGGGCTGGCTGGTTAGTGGGCTGTCTGGCAGCGTCAGTCTCTGTTGGGAAAGCGGACCATCAGCCGCGCGGCGCCAGGGAGGAATGCGCCAACGCGACTGGACGGGAGGGGACAGCGGGTGACAGACAGTGGCAGCCCGATGGCAGTCAGCAGCGACAGTGGCAGGCACAGTGGCAGGCAGACAGCACCTCAGCGACAGACAGCGGACAGCACCCGGACAGGCCCCCACCGGATTTCACAACGCGCACGAGCCACAGGGCCAAACAGACACAGCCTGTCACCTCCTGTGCTCCTGTGGCTGAGCCAGGAGCCGCAGAGGTTCTCTTGCGATTGCTTCTCTTGGCGGGGCACTCGGGGGTCGCCAAGCTTGTCTTCCGGGTACCGAAAGGCAGCTTACCTAAGTCAAGGTACGTGGATACTTGCAATCGTAGCTGAGGTTGTTCCCGACCCGGGACCGAAGGCAAGAATCAGAGGCCGTCGTCCATCTCTTCTACACGACGGGAAAAGGCTGACGAGAGACGAGAGACCACCATCATCAAACGCGCCCACCTCAGGGACGTTCCAGACGTGATCCCAGACGTCGGTGACCTCATTTCCCGACACTCAACCATGGCAGCCTCAATTCGGGAACTTCTATGCGGCGGACATTGCCAGATTCCTGCAGGCATGGCCTGGCCTCACGCCTCGAGAGAAGAGAGCAATGTTGACGTCGCAGTGTCATTCTTAAGTAATCTTAACCACACAAAAAAGACACATGCGACATGGCACAGGCCAAGCCAGAGCGGAATCAGCCTTCAGCCCTTCAAGAGATGAAAAAAAGTCAATTGGATTCGTCAGCCCAGCCGTGCCACCCTGGTGCCCGTCAGCTCTTGGCGGGATCTGCCGCATGCTGGTGTGGACTTGTGGTGACGGCAGGCTCTATCAATCTGCTGCTCGCGACCTCACGATGATGCACATGTAGTCCACCTGCGGAGAGAAAAGGCAGGTTGCGACGTTGCGATATGGTGGACTTCTGACATAATACTCTCCCGGGACGTCTCCAGTCTCCAGAGCAAAATTGGAGCATCCCGAGTGGGTGCTGTTCGCAGCTCAGCGTCGGTCTGCAGCATCGCCCAGGTAGATCATCGACATCCCATCTGATGCTCCTCACACTCGCCAAGCGGCGTCGCAAGCCTACCTACTCCGTACACAGCAACACTAACTGCTAGGAAAATTGCCAAAAATACCAGTCAATCGGAAAATCAACAGGCAAGCCACAAAGCAGCAGATCGTGGGGCACCGCTGACCGTTTCCCAATCCGGACGCCACCATCTTTATTTTATCCCGCCAAACGTACGAATAGCGAGTTGGCACAACTGCCTCAGCCTCCTCGCCTCCCGCTAGCATCCGGATGCTCTAGCGGGCCACGAAGCCTGCATCGGCATCGACGAGTTCGAAGCAGCAAAAAAAGAAGAAGAAAAAAGGTCGAGGCCCCGGCACTCGGCTGCCAGACCGCCCCAGCACCCGTCATTCGAGAGTCTCGAGGATAGGGCCGCATCTCGTATTACCTGGTCCCTGCAGCGGGTCGAGGATTGGCTGGCAGGGACTGGGGACATGCTGGAAAGACAGCTGCACTGGGCCGCTCCCCCAAACAGGACACTGGGCAGAAAAAAGTCAAAATACGAGTCGACAGACCCATCGTGTGTTTTGTCCAGTGTGGACAGCGACTGTTCACCGCGAATAGGGACGAGAGGGTCTGATAGGGTGACAAGCTCGCTGTTTCAAACGCACGCAAACAGAACGTCAAACGGGTCAGACGGGCTAAGAAAACATACGGGCGGCTTCAGGTGCGCAACGCTCCAAACGGGCGACCATCACAGCCACCTCCACGTACTCCGTAGCAGACGTGGGACAAAAGACCAAAGAGTGTCTTCCAGGTCAGATGGATGCGTGAGCCCGCACACGTTGTACAGTTGCACCTCGCCGTTGGACGTGTTCCACACCAGATTCAGGTGCGACGAAGCTCAGGGGAGATGGCTCTCTTATGCAAAGAGGTTCTATCGACAAACGGACACCAGGCGGTCGACAAAGACAGACGCAGAGGGAGCGATATTGAGGCTCTATTGACGGGAGAGGCAAGCCAAAAGCAAAGATGGTCTTATCAGCTCCCTTGGGGACACCATGCCTGCAAAGCTGACCGGACCGGCAGTGGGTTCGTAATCGACCTGCATGCAGTACCAGCGCGGTGGATGATGTCGCAAAGATGCTGCAGCAGACCGCGCCGCACGCCGCACGCCGCACGCCGCACGCCAGACGCCAGCACCGAGTTCCCAAGGACCCCCGGGCACTCGCTAGGGCGGCTGGGTGCAGGCCCCGACAGTCAGCTCCCCCCTCCCCTCCCCTCCCAGGAGCCAACGATGCGAGGATGGAGGCAGTTGGACGAGAAACCCCCATGGTCTGTCTGACTGATCACCAAAGAGTCTTGCCTGTGTGGATGGCGCGAAAGTCACCGAGTGCGGCACCATCGCGGGGCATCTGAAGTTGGCAAACACCAGACGGCTCGTATCGCGGCGTAGCGTACACGTTGTACTTTGTCCGCAACACCTATTCCGTACGCTGCGCACGCATGTGCAAAAAAAAAATTGTGTGGGACAATGAATCAGACTGACGATGGGTTCGGAGACGATACGAGACGCCGCTGCTCTCCTGCTATTGGTGATGTCACAATCCACTCGACGGCAGCACCGGACAAACTCTTGAGGAAAAACATGAGCCAAGTGGCTTTTTGGAGCAGTGGCCCAGTGGGTATCAGGGAACGGAAAGACATTGCCTAGCGCAGAGGCCACACCCGGAGGAATTAATGGGCTTTTGACATTCCCGGCCAAAATTGGGACAAGAGGAGCAAAATATTATTCAATATCGACTGGAGCCGAGGATGAACGGTGACGGGCTGCGAAGTGGGAACTTGGGCCCCTGCGCCTGACGATCCCTGTGCGACCTGTCTGCAGCAGCAGCAGCAGCAGAGGCTGTCCCGGCACGCCGCAGACGCGATGGACACCAGTGACGAGCGATAGCGATGCAAGATGGGGATGGACTGATGAAGTGGGAAGCTCGGTTTTGGTTCACGGCGGAGAGGGTTACACTGGGCCTTGTCGACCGGGGCTCGACTCGTCACTGTTCAGTCCACACTCGCAATCCACACTGACAGACTGAGAGCTAGAAACGGACCCATGGAAGCAATGGGACGGATAGCTCGAGTTGGGCCGACAGGACAGGGGTCCGTCGTCGGGGCGGCGAAACAGGGAATCTTTATATGCACAAAGATGTGTTGCCCCCAGCCGACTGGGCGACGCCAATGTGCATTCTGCCTGGGACGATCTTCAACAGGTTTAAACGCCAATCCCCTTTGCTCGCTCGCCTCTGCCATTTCTCATCTGATCATCCGTCTCGTCTCTCGCCATCCTCTCGCTCGACCGGTCACTGCGGTTCTGTTACGACGCTCGCTCGCCCGCCTTTGCAGTCTTGTTGTTGTTGTTGTTGCTGTTGTTGTTGTCCATCGCCACCTACTACATCCCCGACATCTTCACATTCCAACGCCCAAGTCTCAGGCTCGTGAAATTGCCAGGACTGCGCAACAGTCTACACACATACCTATCGTCCAGTGTCGGCTTCGATCGATTGGACGGGTACGCAGTAGGGGTTCTACTTTCGTTCATTCTCAAACGATAAACATTCAGCAGCAAGGTTTTTTTCTTTGCTTTTGATACCGAACCCCGGGGACCGGAGAAGAAGCGCGCGCGGCGTATCGACCCTCACAACCCAAAGCTGTTAGCTCGACGGGTCTCACTACTCAAAAAAAAACTCCATCCTTGGCCTCACCCCCCAACCACCCACCGCACCAGACAAAAGGGTTTCGGCCGGCCAGGTACCACCGCTCATCCAACCTTTTAGATCGCCTGCTCGCCCCTCTTCCTCACATCAGAAACGGAGGCCGCTTGCGACCTATACAATACCTGCAAGCCTCTCTTTTGAACCTGTTGGGCCATCTTTCCCCCCTCTCTTACATCTTTCGCCACCTTTTGCTGCAGCCGGGACGCTAAACAGAGGCCCGCATCTTGTCACCGACCCTCACTTCACTGTGTAACTTGGTCTCTTCGTACCCTGCACACCTACTTCCGCGTCCATCCATTCATCTGTCGTTTCCGTCCTGCCGTCTTGGGTGTTGTAACCTTCCTGACCTCTTGGTCCCATCTATAAACAACCCGGAGCACCTCACACATCCCCAGTCGCCACCATGACTTTCGACAACAAGTACGACCAACACCTAGAAGAGGGATTGCTGCCCGTTGCTGTCAACGAGAAGGGGACCACGACGACATCGACACCATCCAGGACACCGAACAAGATGACTGCTGCACGCCGTGTTCTGCTCACCGTCTTGGTGTGCGGCTTGATGACCTTCAGCCTCGCCTCGGCCATTGGTCACCGGGCAAGACCTTGCACGAGAGATCATCAGGAACAGGTCCTGGTGGCAGAGGGCGAGGTCAAGGACGCCGCCAAAGTGGATCTCATTCACAGGCTCCTCCACGCCTACTTCCCCGACCGCTACCAGGATGGTGTCTATGCCTCGGACAAGGAGGCCATTGCTGCTTTCCAGGCGGACGACGCCGACCTGGCTTCTGCTCTCGGGCAGCTAGAGAAGCGTCAGGACAATGGCACCTCGAGCGCTGCTCCGGCTGCTACTCCTACGCCATCGGCCACCGAAGCTGCCACGCCATCCGCCTCGTCTGCCGCGCCGACCAGTGACACCCCCACCCAGACCCCGACTCCGACCCCGACGCCGTCTACTCCGGCCACCACCTCCGCTGCTCCCCCGGCGTCCTCCTCCGCAGAGGTCCAGCAGTCCTCCAGCACGCCGCAACAGACTTCGGCAGCGCAGACCACACCCCAGCAGTCATCGCAGCAACCCGCGGCCTCAAACACCCCAACGACGCAACCGACCTCAGCAGCAGCAGCCCCTACTTCTGGTACGTCTCAATCTTCGGAGCCGCAGCAAGCATCTCCCTCTTCTACTACTGTTGGGCCGTCCGCCGCCTCTACTGAGTCTCCTCCGACGACCAGTGGGTCTCCTTCCTCTTCTTCTTCTCCCCCTCCCCCTTCTTCTGCCCCCTCGTCCGCTCCCACTACGGCCTCCCCGGGGTCTTCGAGTGCGTCCGCGCCGGGTACGTCTGCTTCCTCTTCTCCTGAGACTACTACGGTCGTGACGACCTCGTCCCCCGCGATTTCCACTGAGTCTGTGTCGTCGACTGTGTCTGTGTCTGTATCTGGTATGTTGTGTTGGTTTTTGTAGCAGTCGATTCATGTTAGCCCGGGATTTCGGTTGATGAAGTTTATGGCCTCGCATCATTTCCTTTCGTCCATTTACAATACAATCGAATGCTAACCAAAACATCAGGCACCACCCGCCAAGGCACCACCACCACCACCACCACCCCTCGCCGGACCACCACTTCGTACAGCGAGGTCAAGTCTACCTTTACGTCAACCGCCTCCAACGGCGACGTTGTCCTCGTGACCGCCACCTCCTTTGTCGCCGTCGATCCCGAACCGGCCGCCACCTCTGGGTCCGGTTCCGGCGGCAGCAGCGGTAGCGGCGGTCTGCAAAACGTCGCCGTCCCCATCGGCCGCGTCTCCGTCCTGCCCATTGGTCTTGCTGCCTTTGTAGCCGGCGCCATGCTGTTGCTGTAAATTGTCACAGCAGCGGCTGAGCGAACAAGCATGTTTTACATCGTACACGTTGACGACTTTCTGTTTAAATATTTAATCCATTCCTTTTTTTGGGCAGCGGGTTGGTTGGGCGGCACACACACACACACACACACACACACACACACACACACACACATACACACATACACATCAGCATCACTTACTCACGACATTTTAACGGTCTTTATTCACTCCTTGCATACAAAACTGGTGGGCAACAGCACAACACAATCGATCGACACAACGACACATAGACTCTTGCGCGGCCAACAGCGCCGATCTTTAATTTTTGGGACAGAAGGGGACAATAGAACGGGAGGCACACTGAGAAACATCGTGGCCTCGGGGTAGCAACAGAGGAGGTGTAGCGGAGGAGGGGGAAGAGGAGAAAGCGGAAGCGGAAGAAAACAGGCCATCATCACGATGGGGTAAAACCTGAAATGTTAGCACAGTTCCTTGGCGGACCCAAAGGGCTCGAGAAACAATCAAACAGAATTTCGTGCAAAAAAGAATGAAAACAAAGCATTTGACACATCTGCATTTGTGTTGAGACATGGTCCCTGCCCCGCATTCCATGTCATGTTTTGACTCTCGAGGGCGTGGACTGGTTCTGTCACGGGTGCTATGGTGTTTGATTGCGGGACCTGCCGCATTCCAACGTAGTCTTGGGTGGGTGTTTGGCGTCAGGTGTCCAGATGGCAGATGGTCCATCTGTCTTTGTGTCTTGGTTGTTTCCGCGGTGTCATCTCTTTGCATCAAGGGAGGGATGATGGATCTCCTGGGCAAATTGACAACTAGGAGCAGCAGCACCACCACCACCATGATGATGAAATTAAAGATTCGGTTCTATTTTCCAGAGCCTTTGAAAAGGGTATACTCCGTGTAATAACGCCAAAGATCAAACTCCGTTTCCCCCGCCCGTCCATACGATCCAATCGACAAAATCCCCTTCCTCCCTCTTCTCTCTTTGTCCCCCCCTATCGAGTTTGATGGGAAAATCCTTAACCGGGTCCAATCTTGGGCATGTCGTGATGCTCGCTCAGCTTGGACAGGTACGTATTCAGCTCCTCTACGCGTTCCTTGTGCGTCTTGAGAAGCTCGGGTCGGGAGCTGGATGATTCCGCGAGTTCGAGGAGCTGTTTGTTTTGGGGCACGAGATGTCAGAAATGGTGTATCACACAACGATATCCCTAAGCAAACAAAAAAAAAAAAAAAAAAAAAAAGGGGGGGGGGGGAAGGGGGAAGGAAAGGGAAAGACATACCCTCTTACGCTTCCTCTCCTCATACCGCCTCTCCGCCTCCGTCTTTTGCACAGCCCGGCCGCTGCCTTCAGCATCACCGCCATCATCATCATCATCGTCCCGGCCCTCTTCGGGATCTTCGCTCCCTCTCTTTTGCGATTTGCTCTTCCTGCTGCTCTTCTTCGTCTTGTCATCTTCGTCGCCGGCAGAGTCATCGCGGCGGTGCTTCACGAGCGCGGTACTCCCGCTGCCGTTATCGTCGCCGCCCGTCTCGAGGTTCTTTTCGAGATCGGTCTTGTCTCTCCTCTTCTTCTTTTTCGGTTTGGCGATTTTGGCGCCCTTGAGCTTGAGGCCACCGCCGACGGCGGAGGTGTAGTCGTCGAGGGGCATCGTGGGCGCCGGTCGGAGGTGCGGATGTTGGTGGTGATGTCGGCTTCCCGTGTATTGCCAGTCGTGAAGTGGGATAAGCGACGCGGATCCGAGCTTCCTTTCACCGTCCCTCTTTCGGTGTGTCTGTGTCTGTGGCTCGGTCGGCGGGTCGGGGAGGCTTTCAGCTCTTCAAGGCCTCTTTGCCCCACTATCCCTAAGGTACCAAGAGATGGAAGGCCCCTGGCAGCGCTTTGAGTGGCTCCGGTGGCTTTTTGTTAGTCCCGGCGCGGCTCAAGAAAGGATTGGACTGCTCGCTATGGGGCCCCCTGTCCTAAAGTCTTTGCGCCCCACACTCTTAAACCGGTGGCAGGCGCCAAGATCTGATTCGCTCTCCCGTGCCGCGGATCTCGATGGGGGGCCAATCAAGGGTTGATCCGCGTACTTTTTGGTCCTGGGCCCGTGCGGATGCGAAACAGCTGCTGCTGCTGTTGTACCTTACCTAATCCATAGCACACGTACCTTACCTTAGGGAGCGACAAGTCCAGGGCAGCCAAATTGCGGTAAAACTGCCCCCTATGAATACAAAGATACCTCTGCAATTAGTGTGCGAATACTCCGTACAGACAGACTTGGCTGATGCTTGACTTGACTCGGCGAATAGTTCGTCACTGCAACCCTTGATTCTGCCATCCACAACCCAGTTCCCAGGGGCCATTGTTGCATCTGGATGCCACCTTGTTCTCGGCACAACTCAATCTTTCTTTCTCCCTCCTTTGCTCATCCGCCTCAACCTTAATCCGCACAACTCACCTGTGACCACAACTACCCGTACACTTGTACCTCGCCCACACGACCCTGGGCACTACCAAGTACACCTCCTCACCCAGCCCCCATTTCTTTCGCTTCGCCAATCTTATTCGGACAACAAGCGACCACCACAACCAAGCATACGGACGAATAGATGTTTATTTCCCTCTCCGCTTCTTATCCCCCTGGATCATTAGTCTGTTTCGGTTTCCGCGTGTAGGGAAGTGGGTATAGAGAGAGAAAGCGCGCGCGCAAGAACAGAACGAGAGACGGGGCCCGGCGCAACTTTGTCACGACTCCTTTAAACGAAACTTATATGCCAACGACGTCACGAAATTCTTCAAAGACACCGCTACTCTAATACCCACAACACTCGAAGCCTCGAGGGCGAACCACGAATCCCACCCGATCACATACCCTCCATTGGTACTCCCACGTTGGCCGCTGCAATATGCGATAGCCCCAGTGCCAATCCTCCCGAACGCTTGAACGAAATCCACCAAGCTCGAGAGTGCTCTCGACACCCCGATTCCACCGCGCAAACACACACACACACACACACACACACACACCGCCCACCATGCCGCCCTACGCTAATGTCCAATCCCACCGCGACTCCCTCGAGCTCGCCTCCCTCGCCTCCTCCTCCCGCGCCAACTCCATCGTCTCAGACATCCCCTCCTCACGGCCCTCCATCTCCTCCTCCCGCAAGCTCTCCTTTGACGCCGAAGACCCCTTAGACGCCGCGAATCCGGCCGCCGCCGGCGCCACCTCAGGGAGACCGAACCGCCATGACCGCTCCTACTCCGTCTCCTCGGGCTTCGACTTCGCCGCGAACCTCTTCCCCCTGAGCTCCACAGCCGGCGCCAGCGGCGCAGGCGGCTACGCGCCTATCGGCGCGCCCACCTCGACGGCGATACAAAACGGCGGCCTCGGCGGCGGCAACTTGGAGAAGCACAAGACGCTCACGTACCTCAACGGCCTGAGTCTCATCGTCGGCCTCATCATAGGGAGCGGCATCTTCTCGAGCCCGAGCCAGGTGAGCTCAAAAGTCGGGTCGCCGGGCGCCGCCCTCGTCGTCTGGGTCATTGCCGGCGTGCTGGCCTGGACGGGCGGCGCGAGCTACGCGGAGCTCGGCGGCGCGATACCTCTGAATGGCGGCGCGCAGGTCTACCTCGCCAAGATCATGGGCGAGATGGCCGGCTTCCTCTTCACGTGGGTGGCCGTGCTAGTGCTGAAGCCGGGGAGCGCCGCCATCATCGCCATCATTATGGGCGAGTACCTCGTCCGCGCGGCCATTGGCGCCGAGGCGGAAAGCCTCAGCCCTTGGGTCAACAAGGCCGTCGCCATGGTTGCCCTCGTGTCGGTTACGCTGCTCAACTGCGTCTCGACCAAGCTCGGCACAAAAGTCAACGACTGGCTCATGTTTCTCAAGTTCATTGCGCTGCTGGGCGTCACCGTCACCGGCATCGTCGTCGCCATCACGGGCAAGACGGTCACGGGCAAGGCCAACATGGAGTGGAAGTCGCACGAGTGGTTCGAGGGCACGTCGACGGACCTCTCTGCGTGGGCCGTGGCCCTGTACGCGGGACTCTGGGCCTACGACGGCTGGGACAATGTAAGTTGTCCTGCTTTTTTCGAGATGATGAGCCTCGCTAACTATCCAGACAAACTACGTCGTCGGCGAGTTCCGCAACCCGAGCCGCGACCTCCCCCGCGTCATCCACACAGCCATGCCCCTTGTCATCCTCTCCTACGTCCTCGCCAACATCGCCTACTTCCTCGTCCTCCCCCTCGCGGCCGTCAACGCCTCCAACACAATCGCCGTCCAATTCGGCGCAAAAGTCTTTGGCCCCGTCGGCTCCCTCGTCCTCGCCCTCGTCGTCTCGGCATCCTGCTTCGGCGCCCTCAACTCGTCAACTTTCACCTCGTCGCGCCTCGTCTACGTCGCCGGCAAAGAGGGCTACATCCCGTCGGTCTTTGGCAGCATCGGTTTGTCCCGCAACGGCGGCACCGGAGGCGGCCACTCCGTAACCACATCCCGCACCTCCCGCACCCGCCTCGCAAACCTCTTAATCCGCGCCCTCGGCGACGACGACATGGGCCTCTTCTACACCCCCGTCTGGGCTCTGGTTCTCAACGCCCTGCTGACGGCAGCCTACATAATCGTCGGCGAATTCGGCACCCTGCTGACCTTTTACGGCGTCGCCGGGTACACGTTCTACTTTATCACGGTGCTGGGTTTAATTATTCTCCGCGTGCGCGAGCCGCAGCTCGACAGGCCGTACCGGACGTGGATCACGACGCCCATCATCTTTTGCTGCGTTTCGCTGTTCTTGCTGAGCCGCGCCGTGTTCGCGCAGCCGCTGCAGACGGTGACGGTGGTGCTGTTTGTGGTGGCGGGCGTGCCGGTGTACTTTTGGCGGATCCGCGGGCGGGATCAGCAGGTTGTTAAGAGGGAGGCGAGGCATCGGGGGTATGAGGAGGGGGAGGAGAGGGCTTGGTGGCAGTTTTGGAAGAGGTCATGAAAGCGCCCGAACCCGGAGGGTGAGGGGACAGCTTTTGGGGAGAAGATGCGTTCGCGGAGAAGACGCGCTTGGAGGTTTTCGCCCGCGGTTTTGGGCTACTGCTCAGACAGAACGCCTGTCTGTTTTTTTTTTCGCTTTTGCATATCGCCGCCGTACGGTGAAGAGCGCGCGTGTCTGGGGATGATTGGGATTCCCGTCCAAAGGAGTTTTTTTTTTTTTTTGGGATTCTGAAAAAAAGAAACATTCGGCGTCGGATAGGGCTGCTCGGAGTCACGGCAGTCCTGTGAAAGTCCCCGGTTTCAAGGCTTTCTGGCATAAAAAAAGAGATATATATCTCTAGAGCGGTGGAGGATCATGGTAGCGTCAATAAGACAGACAGCGTGGAGGCCCAGCAAGAGTCATTGCTGAGTCGAATCAACGAGATAGCTGTGAAGGCTCAGTGGCACTTTTGAATAGAAACAAACTTGTACACAACTCATTCTGCCGAGGCACAAGTCTACGTGTGGCTATGACAGCTTCACGATCAAGGGTGAAGTTGTCTGGTGTCTTTGATCAAACACGCCCCCAGAGCCGGAGTCGCCGCGAGAAGAAGGACGTGCTGGCCAGCTGATGATTCAGGTGAATATCAAGTTGTGCCGCTGTAAGAGCATGGCAGTTGGAAAGAAAATGAAAAGGCCAGTGTCAGGTCTCGAACTTTTTGTACTTCCAACGACGGGTTCGACGTGGTCGAGAACGGGGTGGGGAGGCTATGAATCACCACGGCTTCCTAGACACTGTCCCTTTCTCAACTGATGATGACTTGGTCGAAGTGTGTCGCAATTAAGGGGGCTAGATTCCGCCAATGCCAAAATACCCAACACTCTCCTGTACAATCACCCGAGATCATCTGAGGCAAACAGTGAGCCACACGATCAGAGACAGAGTGTGCATCGCATCAGGTTATATTCCTATATACGGTAACCTAGACTTCAAAACTACATGAAGCATATATGCAAAATGCTGATGCCAAGAAAGAACCACTAAAAAACAACGCTAGATTTCTTCACACAACCTTCATGGGGGGTATGGTTATCCTCTTTCTCTCCAAGCAAGCAAGACTTTTTTGCTCACTTCTTCTCGCGCTGGCCGTACGCCTTGGTAGCGTAGTCGCCCTTGTGCACAATAAGATCCTCGGGCTTGTAGTCCTCGCGACCGCTGAGGTAGCTGTCAATAATAGCCTTTGTGCCGTCGGCGTACCGCTTCTGGGCGTCGAGGGAAGTACCCGACATGTGGGGCACCATGGCGTTGCCGCCGCCGAACGGGTTCTTGGCCGTGCGGAGCGGGTGGTCGGCGGGCGCGGGCTGGGGGAACCAGACGTCGCCGCCGTAGCCTGCGAGGTGACCGCTCTTGAGGGCGTCGGCGACGTCCTCCTTGACGACGATGGCGCCGCGGGCCGTGTTGATGAGGTAGGAGCCCTTCTTCATCTTGGCAATGAGGTCCTTGTTGAAGAGGCCACGGGTCTTCTCGTGCAGGGGCGCGTTGATGGTGACGACGTCGCACTGGGCGAGCATCTCGTCGAGGTCCTCGACGCGGCGGCAGCCGATCTCGGCCTCCTTTTCGGCGGACAGGGGCTGGTAGTCGTAGTAGAGGAGCTCCTTGCAGTCGAAGGCCTTGAGGCGGCGGAGGACGCGCTCGCCGATGCGGCCGATGGCGACGGTGCCGACGGTCTTGCCCTCGAGGTCGTACTCCTGCTTGGCGACGGCGGCGACGTTCCAGTCGCCGCGCTCGATCTGCTCGTGGGCGGGGACGAAGTTGCGGATGAGGACGAGGATGGTCATGACGACGTGCTCGGCGACGGAGACGACGTTGGAGCCGGTGACCTCGGCGACGGTGACGCCGCCGTTGGTCTTGTTGGCGGCGTTGAGGTCGACATGGTCGGAGCCGATGCCGGCCGTGACGGCGAGCTTCAGGTTCTTGGCCTTGGCGAGGCGTTCGGCGGTGAGGTAGCCGGGGTGGAAGCTGCAATTTTGTTAGATCTGACTTGTTTACTGACTCGAGGCAACTTACGGAGTGGTGATGATGATCTCGGCGTCGACGAGCTCCTGGTCAAACTTTGAGTTCTCGCCCTCCTTGTCAGAGGTGGTGACCAGAGTGTGGCCTTGATCCTCGAGCCACTTGCGGATGCCGAGCTCGTTCTCGGTGGTTCCCAAAAGGCCGGGGACCTATTGTGGTTTCGTCAAGTCAGCGGCCATTGATTCTTTCAAGGATAGATGCCATGCACCCCGCATTTGGTAGTTTCGGAGCTGCACATCGCCAAGAAGTCGGGGGAGGAGGAGGGGGAGGGGGAGGGGGGGCTTGGATGACGGGAGGGGGGTCGCGAGGGGTGTGGGAGAATGGATGCCGATGTATCTGCGATCGACCTCCGAGCCCCGCACCTTCCCGTCATCCCCGCACTACGCTGAGCCAAACGGCGGGCAAAGCTCCGCCCCGGGAAGCTATCATGGTGACGTCCCGGAGGAGGCGGCAGCAGTGGGAATAGGAGTGGTAGGACAGGAAATAGAGACTCACGTCTTTGGCGTGCTGACCGCCGTCGTAGAGGACTGCAAGGACCTTGACCTGGTTTTGGCGAGTAGTTGTTAGTGTGCGGATCGAATGGAGTTGACCAGGCAATTTGCGAGGGAGAGTCGAGTATGCTGGGGAGGCCCGGTTGAATGCGGGTCGAGCGAGGAAAGATGCCTTTGAGGACGTGGAAAGTCCCCGAGAGGCCAGAGGGGCAGCGGAACGGATGTGACGAGAGAGCAATACCATTGTGACTGATTTAAGGGGGTTGAGTTGGTGATGTTGTCGAGAGACTGTAGCTCGGAGGGAGGTAGGTAGGTAGGTCGTTATATATAATTGATTCTAGATAGGATATGCGGAAGTTCGGAGATCTTGAGAAGAGTGAGGTGGAGATGTTTGTTTGTTGTGTGTGAGAGTGAGAAGCAGGTCGACGGAAAACCGGCCAGGGGAGGTTGTATTTATGTCTTGTAAGAGCGTCGGTGCATCGATACATCGCTGGCTGACCGGGACTTCAGACTTGCAGCTAGGGTTCAGGGTGGGGAACCTCTGCGCCTATGACAACGAATGGAGTACATGGCACGTCAGAAAGAGGCAAGAGAATCCGGCTCCGCGAGTCTGCCGTTGTCTGGGTTGTCTGGGTCTGGGCTGGTTCGATGGAATCGATTCATCGAATGTGATGGCTGCCTCCATCTCCTCTTTTCCGTGCCTCTTTCCCGCGGCCATTTGCCTCACGTCTCTCTCTTCCTCCACCTTCCCGAGATACCAGGAGAGCCCCATGCCCCTCCTTTCCAGAGTATCTCCTTGGAGCCACTCAGACATCGGACAGGTATCGGGAAGGTTTGAGACGGCAGCGAGGCTGAGCGGTACAAGGTGCGCAAAGTAGACTCGGAAAGCTCTGAAAGCTACCTTGAGCTTCGGCATCTCCAAATTAGTCTCAATGACAGTGATCTATTGCCTGGTATTACCTTGGGGCATGTACACTGTAGCGAATGGGGGAAAGCTCCCCAGGCGTCCCATCATTGGCCGCGTGGTTCGTCTCCCCTCCACCCGAACAAGAGCTCCCTCGCCCGCTTCAGTTGGCAGCACCGCCCATGGCACGATGAAACGCCGCGTCCAAACCACCCCGGCAAATCTTCAGTAGACCAGGAGCTACCATCCATCCCATCTTTTTGCGACCAGCCAATTCGCGTTGATCAAGAACCCTCCCCCATGCAATGCAGAGCGTGCAGAGCAAGGGCTTTCGTCGCGACAATCAGCAACCACTGCGCATCCTATCAAGCATCACGGTCCAGAATGAGGGGTAACAAACCACCTTCCAAGACCGCCATCATACGTGCGCCGTTCCAAAACCAAAGCGGCCTCGGGTGTTCTCATCACCTAATCACTTGAACGACCTCTCCAATCGTTATCCGTCCTGGACAAATCGATCGTCCGTCTCGGTTACACACGACCGGGCCTGGTATCAAAAGGGACCGCAGCAGCAGATCCATGGGGACTTTGAACTGCGGAGAAACAAATGGCAATGGGCGCTTCTAGCTGGGCCGGGCTAGCCATCTCAGCAGTATGCACGAACCCAATCTCTCATGCCGCCGTTTGGGTTGGAACGGAGATTTGTCGTCAAGCTTTCGAGACCAATTCGAGCCGTTCGTCGCCCGTCGGTGCCCCTCCGGAGGTGCTTCGGCTTTCTGTCGGGGTTCCTGTTCTGGGTGACGGTCGGATGAGGGGTGGTTGAACTTCGGCGTCAAACCATCGCACGACATTCTGCCCGCAACCTTGGTGGCTAGCTAACCCAGCAACGCAAGCAAGCGCATGGGAAGCAAAGCTGCAAAGCGCATCGGCATCCGTCCCGGCGCCCAGATGATTATCGCCCGTGGATGATTGCACCCGTCGGCCGACGATCGATTGCGGCATTGGGGTGCGGATACCTTACGGTGCGACGGCCAGCCCGCTCGTCTATGAGCTTACCTCCGAGCTTACCTGCGGTGCCTGCCACCTTTTCTCGGCGTTTTGTGCTGCACACGAACGAAACATCGTGAGCCCCATCGATGGAGTATTCATGTCATCACTTGTGGGAATCCGAGAATCGTCCACGGAGACGGGAGTCGGGACACGTCGACAAGGTCGACAAGTTTCGACACAATCGTGACGGAATAACGGATAGGGCAGCGTGCCGCGGTTTCCGGTTGGAGATTCCGTCATCGATGCGGCATCATCGCCCCGCGAGACCCTCTTTCTTCCCTTCCTTATTGTCCGGCCCCGTTGGGGACCACATCCGGTCCACTGTCGGGAGGCGGGCTGGCGTTGTGGGGCGGTGCGGGTGCTGGCCTTGATGAGCCCGCTTCTGACTCCTCCCTTGCATCAACGGGCGCTTGGTCTAGGGGTATGATTTTCGCTTCGCACTTCCGTTAGGAACGCGCCTTTGTGAAAGGTCGTGGGTTCAATTCCCACAGTGTCCATTTTTGTGTCCTCTGATGTGCAGATATTGGTTTTTGACATTTTTGCATCGTCAACTGTTCTGTCCTTTTGTTGTTGCAAGACAGACGAGAGAGACCACCAGACTGAGAGCTTTGATGCCAGCTAAGGTTGGTGGTGCCCATGCAGCAGCAAAGTTCACCTCGAATATGGCAACCAAGTGGTGTGACTGACCATCTGAAGTCGTTCAACAAACAATAATAATAGGCTTGCCGCATGCCAAACGTTCTTTCCATTAAAGCCAAACTCAATTGAATCAGACTTTATATAATTGCCTTGAAAAAGAACCCCCCTCTCTGTCCCCCGTTTTGATCGAGTCCAGGGACGATCCATGCCTGTCGTCCCAGCGAAGTTTAACTCTACTGGCGTTGACCTCTTTGGTGGCATTGCATACCCACCGTCAATGGTCTTGATTGACTGACACTGGCGTAATCAGGATGTTAATTGTCCGCAAGGCGTTGATTGACTGCATCCTGACAAGGAGCAGCAGACCTCTTACCATCTTGGATCCGTGGGGGCTGTGTCAAACTTGTCTCTCGTTTGGTTGGGCTAGGCGGATGCTGCGAAAGTGCTTCGTGGCCTGCCAGTGACGATGCTGCCAGTGACGATGTTTCGCCCTTAACAGATGGGAGAAGGAAGTCTCTCGGAGCTTCACAGCCCTGAGACGACACCTCGACTGCGGTCAATGGACAGACGAGAGCGTGCCATCTTCCGGTGATTTGCTCTTTGTAAGCAGCTTGGGATACTTGGTGGATAGCTTTGTGCGTTGGTCTTGATTCCGGGAGTTGGACAGAGCATGGCTCGGCATCTGTTTAGCTGGACTCAAAGGGCTCGAAGGACAGCATCCCTGAATCAGCACTCTGCCTTTCGTCACCGTGGCTAGAGGAGATCGGGTGTTGGTTTTACTCGTTGAGGCGCTTGATCTGCGTAGATATTCTTCCATGGCGAGCCGAGGAGACTCTTGAGTCGGTACAGGTCGACTTGATGTAAGAAGATGGTGATGCTCGAGGTCTTTTCTCGCTTGAGAAGTTGGACGTCGTTGCCGTACCCACGACCGTTTCTGACGAGGCTGCTTCCTCTGTCTATTCCGATGGATGCTGTTGTTCCATTTTGGGCTTCTCGGTGGTGTTAATTCTCGCGTGAAAGTGAGAGGCGCCGTGGTCCTGAGCACTCCACATCACTCGCCTACCTACTAGCGAGCTTGAATCCCGGCCATGGTGTCGATATCGAGCTCGCGTGGGCAGGCTCTGCGAGCGGTCTGAGCAGAATAGACGAGGAGGGCGCGATGAGGTACTTTGAGGACGATTTGGAGGTCAAGGGATGTCGGTATCTTGGACTTTGAAGTCGAACCCTCGCCCTCCGTAGACATGGTCCCCCCAGAGGGCACGAAAGGGTGGTTGGCGTGATCATATGCAGAAATGAGGAGCCGGCCACGCAATTGAAGCACTGAGATGGCCTGGAAGACGGTCTTTTGTTTTCTGTGAGCTATCTTGATGGGGTGCCACGACTCGTCTCCCATGTGCCCCGTCTGGCTTTGCAAGGGTCTTTCTTGTCCATGCCAATCGCTGCAGATAGAGGTTACTTAGTCTACGGTCGCCAATGGAGAATGATATGATGGACAGGCCGCGAGGTTCTCCTTGGTCAACATGACTGCGGATGCTCGTGGTTGAAGAGGAGGAACCTCGTGAGCGCCAGGTGTATTTAGAAGGATACATTGTCGTCTTTGCTACAGTGACAAGATAAGCCCGGCATATGGTCCGCACATGTAACAGAGAATGGGCACAGAAGGACTTCAGAATCCCATTGAAGTACGGCTACAACAGTCGCAGCAAAAACGCCACTTCAGCTCAAGATCCTACGGTTTCATGATCTTTTGGCCCAGGGTCCTAGCTATTCTAGATCGACCACACGTGTAGAGAAAAATAAAAAGAGTTCACCCCCCCCTTCGGGTGGCGATTGGGGGCTATATCTCTTGGTGCTCATGCTAGGATTCGAACTCAGAGCCTGTCGTCGAGTAGGCTGTGGGCGTAATTATTGAATGTTGACCTTTAATTACTCCCCTACCTATCCTAGTTTAACCTAACCCGTCGGCCTAGACGGGCGCCTGCTGGTTTTGGTGACAGAAATGGACTTGAGGGGGTATATACATGAAGGCTTCTCTCGTGCATACTGGGTGAATATACACATGGTGATTCACCGACACCTGGCGCTGAGGGGGAGATTGATGATTGCATCATATCGCCATTTTTCGGGACAGCTCAAGACGTGATGATCAAGTTCATTGTGGTCATTTCTGGTCCTTATGTGCCCTACCTGTGGACTATAGGCAGGTTTGCGTCCGACTTCCACAGCTGGCTTCTTGCTTGAATTCAGGATGCGGCGAGCTGAGCCAAATCCACCCAGGGTGAACAGCTCCAGCACGTCCATGATGCCTCGCAGACCCATATGCTGTCATCTCATGCACGAAGACGCCTGCAAGCAGAGTCGCAGCTCCCATCAGGGTCATATCCCGCGGTGCACGTCAACCCAATCTGCGCCACCCGAGACGCCCACTCGTGCATCCGGCAGCCCTGTGAACCTTACGACCCTAACATGATGACTGATGCCTTGGATTCTACGACTTGAACACCAAAAGTCAGATGACGAAGGCACAATCGATGTGCTCGATGGCCTGCAGACGGCTTCTCAGCCAGTCGTGGCGTCTTGATGCTGTCATGCACTTTTCAACCCCGGCATCAGGGTTGCCTACGGGAGGCCCCGCAAAGCGACGACATCTTATAAGTGCATCAGTCTCGCAGAATCAAAAGAACACATCTCAAATCACATCCATCACCTCCCGCTCGTTCTACCAACCATCACACTTACACTAAGCCCACCATGGTGTCCAGCAAGGCTCCCATCGCCGCAGCCATAGCTCTGTTGGCACAGATCTGTCGGGCCAGAAACCACCTGGTCTTCCGCAACGACACGGAGAGCCCGCCCCGGACGGTCACCGGCGAGCAAGGTTGCTACACGGACTTTGGCCGGGACTACCGTGGCAGCGTCCCGACTTTCTCCCGGCTCTACTCGTACACGTTCCCCGTCACCGCGTACAGCTACTTCATCCCCTCCACCAGCACCATCACCGTGACGCCCACCGTCACCGGAGGCGGGACGGGCCCCATCACTTCAACATCGACCGTCACCACAACCGCGCACGTCACCTCCCTCGGCAGCATGACAACCATCACGGCCGGACCTCAATTCACGCCCCTCGCCTCCGCCCTCCAGCACAGGCGCCCAGAGGGCGGCAGACCGCAACTCCAAGAGACAAAAGACTCGGGCTACAGAATCGATTCCTCATCCGATAGCCTCGTCCTCGGCGTCGACAAGGCCGGCATCGCCAAAGCCTACCCGCCCCTCTGGCCGCAAGCCGTCGTCTGCGAGAAAGTCATCCGCGTCTTCACGACCAGCACGTCAACCATCACGGTATCCTACGCAGCAACCACAACGATTACGCTCCCGGGGCCCAGCAGCACAACAGCACCAGTACAAAACGCAACGACGACGACGACGGTGACGTCCACCATTACCGACGAGGTGGCTAATCCCACGCAGACCGTCTACCAGGCCTGTCAGGCGAACAACCTGGTCTCGGGCCACGGCCAGCCGCAGACGTACTTTGTCGAGGCGATTCACAGCTGGCACGTTGTGCGGGAGCAGCGCATCACCGAGACGGCGGAGAAATGCTGCATTGCGTGCCAGGGGGAGGCGGACTGCGGCGGGAGTTTGTATCATATGTTTTCGGGCATATGCTACACCTTCAGGACTGGAGGCGGGGGTGGAGGACGAGGGCCCGGAGGTAACGGGGGCCATGGGGGCCATTGTAGGGCGCCGGGCGAGCTGCGGTCTAGTGCTGATGTTGCTGATGGGGCGGTTTTCGTCGCGAGTAATGGGCACTGCGGTGGGTGGTGGGTTTCGGATGAGGCGCCGGTCTGAGCTGTTGTAGATGTATGCAGTAGTCAATCAAAAGTGACATTGTGCTCTGCGTCTGTTTATCTGTAGCGGCCGGGAGGTGGAAGTGTTGAATGGCCCCACCCTCGCTGAATCCATCCGAACGATGTCTGTCGGAGACTCGGAAGAAGTTGAATAGTCCCCGGGCCGGGCCGTCGTGGGTCTCCGATGCGGAAGGTGGAGTGTGGAGGACGTGAGGAAGGAGCGATCGGATGACGCTGGTTGCACGCACTGTCCCGAAGCAAACGACGCCGTCCCAACAGCATCTCTCGGGCTCTCTCCACGCATTACCCAACATCAGTTTGACCTCACAGGACCCGTGGAAGCCATTCCAGACATCTTCCCAGGACCTATCGATACAGCCTGGGGTCATCTAGAGGACGATGCTGCCATCGTCACCGTCCAGTAGCCATTTCGTGGCCATTGTGAGCATGAACTTGCGATCAGCAAACAACGCAGACCTGTCAAGGACACGCTACCTATCCATCGATCCTTGAGCCGTCGATTGACGAATCGCCAAGGGCCATCCATCGACGGTCACAATCACTCGAGAAGTGCTGGTCCGCGGATGAGGCTCCTGAACGAGCCAAGCAGCTTCATCCAATCTGCCAAGTCAAATTCGGCGAGACTTCATGGGAAGACCAGGCGACAACTCGCAGCGTGATGGTCTGTTCACGAACACGTTCCAAGAGACTTGTCGCGATGACCGTCGAGCCCGCATCTGATCGCTGTCTGCGGCCAACCCTCCGAACCCTGCAACTGTCAGCTGAGTCGGCTACAGTTCCACCACAATCAAGACGCCGCAGTCTGTCAGATGTGCGCAGCGTTGCGCGTCTGCCAAAAGAAGAGCACTGCCATCACCGCCAATGCCGTTTGCCACCAACGTCTCCCTGATTCCATGGCGAACCCATCGACTTAAGTAGAGCAGGCGTGAGCCCCGCGATAGCGTGATGCCAGGGGTCGACCAACAGGCAGCCGTTTAGGAGAATTTCGTGCGGCTAAGTACGGGACTCGGGCGAAAAAGACCTTTCGCCCACCTGGCTGAAATGACAACAGGATGGATTTCGCCTTACCCGCCACCCCATTCGACCTCATTCCTGGGACCAAAGACCAGTTTGCCGGGGCGCAATCGTGCGGGTAGCTCGACGCTTGACATTGCGTCTTACGTCTCCCGCTCTCCACTGCCAGGGCGATCAACTAGCCTGCGCTTCCTTCGAGCTCTCCAGCCCCTGCCCAACCCGTTCCGAGACTTGTTCCAGAATGCCGCCACCTGAATGGACGGGTGTCATGGGTGCGTCCCGCGAAGTGGCTTGCGGCTGGACTCTCGACTTGGGTTGACACTCACACTCTTGGTTGGCGCTGGTGCCCGAAATAAGCGCCAGAATTCAGCCCTGCCACACCGCGCCAAAAGATGGACCAATACACATCACCCCCAACGGCGAACCATCCAACACGTCTTCAATCGCGAGCGAGTCTGCGTCTCTGAGATCGATAGCGAGCTGTTGTCAGACCTTAGCAATGTCCAGCGTCACCAAATGGGCAGTCAGAGATGGAACAGCCCCCCTTCAAAGCCCCTGGATTTGTGCAGTGATCCTTGTTCTTTGGCGGCTTTCTATAATTGCACTTTCAGCTTAGCCCATTGCCACGCGCTGGACTGCGGGTCCAGACGTTGCATCGCCCGGTACATAGATTGCTCTTGGCGATCCTTCTGAGCAGTTATTGTCCTTTTCCGCGCAGAACGTCACCACGGTGTGCGGCATCCGGGCCCGCTGCGACCACTCGCACCCCTGCGATGTCATTTCTCCCAGGCCCAGGGCAACCATGCGGTCGCAGACCGTCGATTGAACAAAAACATTCCCCGTCCTCTTTTGCTGCTTGCAGCGGTACCCGGCGTCATCTGCCCGCCGTGCTCACCACCCACACCCCCCTTCTTCGGCCTTGTTTCGACGACGACGATTCATCCTCTGGCGACGAGAGGACCAACCTTCGCCGCGCGACCGCTTCCACGATGGCGGAACTGGACTCCAATGCCTGGTATCGCCTGTCGGAAACGCGCGTCGACAACAGCACCGGACCATTCGCTCTCAACCTCCAGCTTCGAGATGTCGGCCTCCGAGTGCATCCCGTAACCGACGGCACCGCGGCATGGCAGTTTCAACCTTTTGGTGATGTTAAAGGCCGCTACCTCATGCGCCTCGACCAGGCGGGAGTCAAACAGCAGCTGGGAGTGTGCTACGATGCAAAGGAGCCGGCGACCGGAAACACCGTGGCCTGTCTGCAGGAGTCGTCAGTGGACGAGTCTCAGATTTGGGAGGTTTCGGCATGGGACGGGAAGACGGGGGAATACAAGTTTGTCAACGTGGCCAACGGGACCGCGTACGTGCTCGACGTGCATCCAAAATCGAATCTGTTCATGAACAACAACGTGGAGGGCTCGGCGAGCGCGACAGACACGCAACCGGCGCAGCACTGGGTCATGACGAGCGTCAGTGCAGTCAACGACGGAGCATACTCGACAATCTATTCAGGCAACGTGGCGGTCAGCACCAACTCGGCGACGCTCTCAACTACGACGACCACGAAATCGACGACGACAACCACGTCAGGGACCACAGCCACGGCCGCATCACAGACGGCTGCTTCGACAGCAGCCATCACATCTACGGCGACTGCGATACCAACAACGACGGGAATATCACCAGGGGCCGGAGCAGGAATAGGCGTCGGGGTCGCCATCGGGGTCGTCGGTTTGATCGGGGCCATTGCGTTCTTCTGGTGGCGGCGCAAGCAACCAAAGACTGCGCAATACAGCGAGGTCGAGCCGAAGCACGGCGGGAGTCTCGAGAGAGGGTCATCATCAATCGCGGGATCTCCGGCTGTTGGAGGCTACGCAGCGCCGTACGGGGCGCATCCGGGGACGGGGAGCTACCCGTCATATACCGGAGGGTCGCCGGCCACGATGAGCTACCCCGTGCCCCTTGATAGGGGGTTACCTAATACCATGACCTACCCGATCCCCGTCCAGACGTCGTCGCCGTCGTCTGAGCCTAACCTATCCTCCTGGCACTATCCACAAACCATGTCCACGAGCGCGCTCGCCGTGCCTGCTGCCGTACCCCGTCACCAATTCGACCACCCCGCCATCCACAACGAGTTCGCGCCGGCTGCGTCGAACCCTTCCTTTGAATCAACATCACGCTTCGGCTTTGCATCGACTGCGGCATCTTCCCAGGCCAATTCTACAACAAATCTAAACCTAAACGACCCCGATCCGGTCCCTAGCGCACACGAGCTCGAAGTTGCCGTGCGAGACGTGCCGCGACGACAGCATGAACTCGGCGAATTTCACCATGGGCCAGGTTTCGACCTTTCACAGCCGACGGCGACGACGACGGCGACGATAACGGCACCCTCGGCAGAGCTGAGCGCGTTCCAGCATGGCCCCGATACCTTTACCCAGAGCCACGAGGCCAAGATGCTTGGGGTGCCCACCGCAGAGCTCGGCTCTCACCAGCATGGCCCCGATACTTTTGGCGACGGCCACGAAGACAAGATGCTCGGCGGCTTTCCGCCAGGGGCCGAGAAGTATCAGCCGGAGCGGGAGGACAAAGTGCTCGGTAACCTGCATGACCTGATGAGGCCGGTTGCGGGGCAGGGCGGGAGAGCTGGTCGTCGGCCGGATGACACAGACGCCACGGGGTGGCAGTCGTACGAGATGCAGTCGTTTCCGCCGCGGTGATAGTAGGAGGTGATGGCAGGCAGCATCTGTCTGCCGGCAGCCACCCACCCGAACCAAGATCGAGAGGGCCTCTAGGCGGAGTGGCCGACGTGGATGAACACAATGATACCCGAGTAATGAAAGGCCCGCCCTGCCTCTCTGCCTCACCCCTCGCAGCTGCCTACATGACGACTAGTCAGACGCGTCTGCACACTGGCGCCATATTACACCTGGCCATTTTATACCTCGTCATTTAGACCTGACTATTTACACCCGGCCGAAAAGTAATGTAGCTCAAGAGAGAGCCCCATGTGCAACGTCACCAGACGGAAAAGCATAGATCCTGGACTTGGGCCTCGGATGAAGTTCACGAAGCCCGAAGGAAGCCGGAAAGGGCCACCGGATCCTCAGCCGCATTATGGAGTGCGGGAAGGACACACAGGGTCCACCGAGACGATGCACAAAAATCCTAGGAGGGCTCAAATCAGGAGCCGGAACCCTGGAGATGGTTCGTCCGGGAGATTTTTGAACCCCTGCGCCTAAACATTACCCCATCGGAAAGTGAACCTGGCAGGGGAGAAGTACTCTGCCACCTGAGAGATGATGGGAAAGAGACGGCGATCGATGTTGGACGCCGAACATTCAATTGTATTTAAAAGAAGAAACAGACTTAGAGTAGACTTCTAATCCATGAATAACGACGGCCAGAAGTGCCTTATCATTTTACAGATTTGTTTGCTTGACGGTTTCTGGCGTCACGCAGTTTCCATATGGACGCCACTGCGAGGGGATGTTGACGTTTCAACAAGCCAGTGCTTGGGTCTTATCTCGACAGCTGTTACGTGGAACGAACTCGTCAAGTTGGCGATGATGGAGAGCCCCGAACCGCCTTTTTTCGAGGCGAGGTATATGATCTCTCGAGCACCCTGTCCCGCCCTAGAAAATAATACAGAACCTTTTTGCTAACTAGCCTTTCGGATCTTCAGAGTTTTTACGAACCTGAACGAGCATAACTGGCTAGCTGGCGCTTCAATCTCATCGAGGAAAACTCTATGCCTCGCCGCAAAGCAAGTCAGCATACGAACACTACGGATCCTTGGAAAGGAGGGAGCATGATGATTCTCCTGGAACTCGAGAATCGGCCTTGCTTGGTCTCGCCTGAGACGCACGCAAAAAAAAGTCACATTAGACGAACATCGACCCGCCGAACGCTGGACGCCTCGAACGATGTTTTCCGAACTGTCAAGAGAGATGGGAGGGCACGCAC